ACATTTTATAAATTTAATGACTTTATTAACGAACAAAGTAGTAAACAATAAATTTAAATTTACGAATCAAAGTTAAGACACCAATGAGCGTAAATCGCAATACCTAAGGAAAATTAAGCAAAACGACAAAAAGGAAAATTTTCCAAAATAAAGCACCTTTTGTTTATTGTTTAAAAAAAGAACTTGGATCGTCACTTGTTTTCAGCGCCTTGTGGATAAAATTTTCCATTTCTTATTACCATTTGTAGCATACAAAACAAATCAAAAAATTATTACCAAGAACAAATCGTCGCATTATAACACCTGTTTATTTAAAATAAAATATTTTGCAAAATGTTTTTTAACCTACCTGGATCTCATCACCTCCACGAAGACGTCTCCGCGAAGAATCAAGAAGAAAATCAAGGAACATCCATTATCCTTGCAAGCCTGGCGCGCAGAAGATCCTAACGATTTTTATCCTTAGTACACATATTCCTTTTTGAAAACTTTTTCATACATAGAGCACCAACAAATAATGTTCATGTTCTAACCATATACGTGAATTATTGTCTAATTAACATCACACACATAGTAATTTATAACAAATTTTCCCGAATAAAATGATTACGTAAACGTACGCGCCGACCTCTTCAACATGATACTGGGCGCTTTGCTGTACGTAAAACACAAGCAATCTAGGCTGGCTTAGTCATTACGATAAAACAAAAGGACAATGTTAAATGTTAATGATAATAATGATGAAAATAGTAATACTAACAACTGAAAGGTTTTGTTTAACGGTAAAATTAATATGCTGATTGTTTTTTTAGTAGAGGTGGCAGCTTTTTGCTAGAAATTAGAAGAAACGTGTTTTTCAAGGTCTACTAATTACACACAATAAAAATCGTTATAGTAATTTAATAATAAAATCATTTAACATCAAGTTAATTTTTTATAATTTTCTCCATTATTTTCTATATTTTCTCTTTTATTTACGTGTACATTACGTTGTCTTAATGTAATGTTTGTAATTATTTATTATCCTATTTATTATTTTATCTATACATGTAATCGTTCAAAAAAATTGTACATTTGAGAATTGGCTAATTGATTACAACCCTTATCGGCTTGATTCCTATCGATTGAATAATTAAAAGGGGAAAGTAGAATTATATAATTTCGAAATTAGAAAAAAGCGTAATTTCAAATATCTGAAAATATATATAACGTTTAACTCGGCGAATTAATAATTTTTGTTAATTAATAATTTTTTTCCACCTCTAAGAAATCTTGTACAATCTCACGTCAACGTTGTGTTCAAAAACATGCCAATAAATGACTAAAAAAAAAATGTAGGTAAGTACTTACCTTTTTCTTCCTGTCAGGTAAAGGGCAGATCCTTCGGGAGTTCGATACTTTCATACATCTTTTTGTAAATAGGCCAAATGTCGTATTATTTTTATTATTTTTCAAAAAGTGTATACAACTTATTTTTTTTTACAACAAAGCGTTTCTATGAATTTTAATCTGTTTATCACAAAATAATACCTTATCAGTAGCTAAACAGTAATGATAAAACAGATTACTTAATACCTAATAACCGTCTAAATTTACTGCCCTTAAACTATATGTACAGTTCAAATATTATGTTTTCCTTTTTTCTAAAACAATACTTGAAGTAAATTAATAACATTTAGTTTTAAGTACATATGGTATACTTTTTAAGTATTGCTAATAAATAATTAAGTAAAAATTTGTTTAACAAAAAAAACGAATCTTCTCCAAACAAATATAAAGAACTCTTAGCGATTGTAGTAGAAATAAAATAAACAAAAGTCGGTAAAGGTCTAGATGATGGCTCCCACACCCTGGGAGGGTTGGGTTCTTGGGTATCGAAAGAGGAGTTCTCCCCCACCACT